AAAGTGTCTGAAAACTACCCGTTAATGTTTCGTAATGTTTCGTGGTTAAGTGAACTTCTTAATCTCACCCTTTCTTGGCGGAACAAGGAGCATAGAAAAAACATATTTATTACACCTTTAAAAACGGTACAGTATACATGAAAACCCGTATATTATAACAAGCGTAAGCAAGTGAAATTCACTGCTGTAATTCTTTTCAACATAAATTACCATTTATTTCGTAATTCTGTATGAAATCTGTAGTGATTGTGTACATTGGGCCTCTTTACAATTCAAAGTTTTTGGACGCCACAATATTTGGATTTACAAAAAGTGTTTCAAGAAAAAAAGTGTAATGCTGAAATATACACAGGACTTTTCGTGGTGATATTTGATGGGAGTTGCTAATGCATTTTTAACCGTGATTTACAACTTTTAACGGTTAAATTGACGCTATCAATCATAGATTGATGCACAACAATGGCGATCTGGTTGTAAATCTTAAACTTAAGAACCATAAACTTCCAAAAAATGTTAATAAATCCTCAAAAATGTGTGACTAATAAATTTTCTAACAAACCTAATACCTTGTAAATCTTAAGTAATACCTAATGCAATAGAGAAAAACTTTATTTTTGTGCAAAAACATAAAAAATTTAATTGCGCTATCGCGCACAATAGAAAATAGCGAAGAGAATAGAGTAAAAAAGAAAAACTAAAAAAGGAAAAGTAATAAAACGCTAAAAAATGCGAAGCCGGATATAAATTTCCTTTTGGGCAGAGTAGCAGGGTCGCATTTAAATGCACCATTTAACATGGTGAGGACAAAAGTTAAGCAATATCAATCGAGTTGCCTTACAAAAGGAAAAAAAATTAATAAAAACTGAGGAAAAACAGAAAAAGGCATGTGTGCATGTATAGATAATTCTAAAAAACTGCATCGAAAAACGCCTTGCAAGGCAAAACCCAAAAAAATTGTAGGCACCCCAAAAAAATCACAATGCCACACTATCGCTGATCTAGCCAACAGCGATTATTATCGAACGCACGATCAATGCAACAATCAGCACTCGTGATCACACAAAAGCGCAGAGTCCCCGCAAAAGGACATGCCACATCATTTAGTTTATGGGACACACCCTCGGCCAAGCCTTACGCAATGCTAAATACATACACACACGCTCATACAAACATGTATGTCGGTAAGCACATATATTTGTTTTCTACTTTTTTATTACTTAACTTTTTTATTTATAGTACTGCTTTTGGGTGAATTTCACGTACTTTTAGACACACACTTTTTGAGATATTTCCTTTTGTTGTTGTTATTATTACTACTTTTTTTAATTTGGTGCTGTTTATTTATTGCCACGTTCGTTGTAGACGCATTTTATTATATTTTAGCTTTGTAGTTGATGCTAGGTGTGCTATTGTATTTGCAATGCAAACACTGCGCCACTGAAGTGTTCGAACATACATATCGCACGTTTAATAATATACAGAAGTATTTCAAAATTTAAATTTTATGGGAAAACGCGATCAAAGTTTGATCAATTCATACAGTTGGTATACAAAAATACAGTTGAACAGACCCATATATTCGCCGTTTTTGGAAAGTTTAGCCCAAAAACTAAATTTTGAGTTACATCTGTATATTATTAAACGTGCGATATGTAAGTTTATAAATGCATAATTTATTCCATTAAAAAAATAGCAAGTTACGGGATTTTATTTAACAATTGGATAAATGAGTTCGCGAATTTTCAAACTTAGAAGAATAGGTTATTTTTTGGCTAGGTTAGGGTAAGTTGTAGTGGCTGTTCTCATCCAAATACTGGACGATGATGATGATGTAGTCCTGGATGCATGATATATGATACACGTTTGGCCCGTAGTTAATTCCGACCGCATACAATCCTTGAAATATAAACAATTCGAAAGATTTTTGAAACGCTGTATATCGCAGATGTGCGTCGAAATTAAGTTTGAATCGTCGTCTTTTTCGGTGCACTTGTCGTACCTACAAATGCAGAAGGTAGCGGTCGTGGAAATCCCATTATACGGGCTGTGACAAGTGATGATCCCATTACAATTAGCCTAAGGCGGGGGCATTGCACGAGAAGCAGAGCCCTGAGCTCTCTTTATTCAGTACTAGAGATGCCAGAACGAAATAAAAAAAAAATATTGATTTTTGAATCGATTCGAATCAAAATAAAAATAATCGATGTAGAAATAAAGTAACAAAAAATAAATCGGTCTCCCAAGATCAATATACACATTTTGTCAAATAAGTCAGTGACCAAAAGTAAGTTATTTTTTTTCGATGTCATAATAATAATAATAATAACTGAAAATTACGGACTTATATTTTTTTAGTCCAGTAATAACAGTTAAACTTTGTCAAATATTTTTTAACAGGAATAGGAAAATAATATTTATTTCTTTAAATTGTAACCAAAAAAATCGACAAGTTGTAATCATCGTATAAAACAATTTTAATAAGAAACAAGCCTTTTTCCAAATTGAAAACATTTGGTATCAAATGAAAGAGGTCTGAAATAGTTTTCCTGCAGTTAAATAAAAAAAAATAGAAAACCATAATTCAAAATAGCCTTTGCTTAAAATATTTCGACATCTTTTATTGAGTCAGGCGTTAATTTTTATGAATTGTGCTCGTTGTCGTTTAGCAGTACTCCTGTGTACCATCTCACATCACAAAAACAAAGCATGAAATCTATTCTGCATTAAATGTACTTTAAGATAAATTTGCTCAATTTTGAATAATATTTTTCTTTTTTCGGTAATTTTTTTCCGTTTTTAGATAGCTTTTGCTTTGCATTTTTAATGTTTTGAAAAAAAAAAATTATTAAAAAATATAAATACTTATCTTAAAAAAAGTTCCCAAAAATCAAAAAAAAAAAATATTATTTTACAACACTAAAAGTTAAAGGAAAAACTATCTAAAAAGGAAAACAAATTAGCGAAAAAACAAGTTTTTTTGGTGTAATTGATAGAAACTTTGTTAATTTTCTATTTATTTTTAATTTAATTTATTTATTTTTTAATGCCCTTCTAATGTTTATTTTTTATCGTGTAAAAAAATAAAAAATCTTTAATTCAAAGTTTAGAAAATAATAATTGTGAATATCTACGCATTCCCATTCTATAAGATAAACAATCGAATACTTAGTTGCACTACTGTATACTTATGTAACTGCTTCGCCCTCCTGTATGACAGAACAGTCCAAGCAACCCTTGATATCACCCAAGAAAAATGCATTTTATCTCCGAAATAGCATTTATAAAATTATTGTACAAACATATATGTATGTATGTATGTATTTGCGAGTGTTATATAAAAGGATGCAGCAATAGCATCGTGATCCTTTTACTTAATGAAGAAAACAGTTCTTTTTTAATTAAATTTTTTCTTATTTGATTTGGCTGCGAAAAAAATGTATCAAATTTTTTGATGCACTTCCTGTTCAAGTGCGAATGGGTTGAAGCACTTGAAATTTTAAAATGTGAAAAAGGGGGAAGAAAAAACTTAAAAAGGATGTGCCTTTAAGTGGCTGACAGCATTTTTTCTTTTCTTCCTTTTTTATAATTTTTTGTTGTGATTTTGCTGAAGTGTCAGCATAATTAGGAAAGACTCGTGAAAGGGGTTGCATGTACGCTATATTTTTTTTAGCTTAGCTTCGGGTGGTATTGTGTAACATATGTATGTGTGTAAGCATTTACACTGGAAAATTAATCATTTCTGTTTGTTTGTTCATTTATGTTGCACAAATAATATTTTCATTAAATTAGAGAGAATTTGTAAAAAAAAATTTAAATCAGATATAGGAAAGGGTATTTTCTTGTATTAACGTGGAATTTGCTGGTAATTAAGACACACCAATATTTGGGGTTTTGTACACCAACAGCTCTAAATCAATGATGTGCTGATTAGTAAATTCGATTAGACGGTAGATTAACACGCGAAAGAATAGGAAGCTTATTTTGCAACAAAGCGTTATTAACACCTTTTCAAAGTGGCATATATAAGTGGAGGATTTTGCTCACAAATTTCAAACTTAATGCCTATTTAGTAAAGTCGGCATTTTTATGCTATATCGAAAAAAAATTTTTATATTGAAATCAAAAAATATACCCCTAATTTTTTATTTTTGAAATCAAAAAATGTTTAGAGGTCACTCAATGCACCCAACGTTTTGCATGTATTTTATATGGGGAAAAACCACTTATCGTATAAATGGTATAGAATTCTTATAAATAATTTTTGCAACTATAATTTATAAGTCTGCCAAAACCCACAAAACACCGTAGAATTCAATGGGCGGACAAATAAAAAATCTTTAGTATTAAAAAATTGTTAAATAAACAATTGTTTATTATTATTGAAAGTCTCCCGAAAACAGCCAGAGTTTTCCGATCGAAAAATATTGATTTTCAAGAATTCTATACCATTTTTACATGCATGCATGGACAACTTTTTTGTTGTTTTTCTGTCCTCTGTGCCAAACTTCAACACGTTATGCCGTCAAAAATGAAAGTTCCTTTTGCAAGAAAACGAAATACCTCCTGGCGAAAACACACTGTTAGGATACATGTCACTGTAGGCAGCTATAATTTCAAAGTTGTAAACGATTTTTCGTATTTAGTAGGAATGTAGAGTAAAAAGCGCTAATAGCGTTAACCTGAATATCCAACGAGTAAATAAGAGAATACTATTCTATATAAGATCTATGAATCCGCTCTATTGGCTGCCGAAGAAGCTGGAGTGAGGAACTGCGGGCGCTTTATAACGGCATTGACTTAGTCCAAATCATATACCTAAACTCAAAGAATGCAAAAAGGTGCTTCAACTTGGCACTCAAAAATTGCAGAAGCAATTGAAGAAGAGCAAATAAAAAATACAAGGAACAAGAAAAAGATTTAATTAAAGCTGAAATAAAGATTTCATCCAAATAACTTAACTTCGTACATATGTATATGTAAACAAACAGTTTTTTTTTTAATCATTTTAAGGGTGCATCCAATTCGAAATCACTCACGCTCTGCGGTTTTTTCTCCCAATTTGTTTTGTAATCCCATACACGAATTTCATTAAAACGGTACAATCCATACTTGAGCATATCTTCAACGCGTGCACTTTTAAATAAAAACTTATACTCTTGTTCAAGGGAAATTGGCATAACTCCCTCAGTTTTCATTTCGTCCAGCATATAGCATTTCGGAAGATCGTTTTTCTCACTACAAAATGGCATTTCACAAAGTAAACCATAAAAACCGATAAGTTCAAATTTGTGCACGTCATCCAAAATTGTTTGCCAACTGGGAATGGAGTTTTCGTTTAAAGATTTCAATGTTCCGGAGAAATGTTCATAGTAGCAATGAAGAAGTTTATAACGTTCCCGAGTCAGAGCATCGAAGTTCAAACAGGTATTGAGGAATAAATTTAAATCGTAGCCACAACTGCCAACGAAGCAATTACTGAAGTTACTCTGCCAAAATAAAAATATAAAATTAAAATTTGCATCAATGCCCATATACATATGTATGTACGCATCAGGGTGGTTCAAAAAAAAAGAAGAATTCTTGAAAATCAATCGAACGGAAAACTATGATTCACTTCAGAAAACTCCCGATACTAATAACCGTTTGTTTATTTACCCCAAAAAAAAAGGTAACATAAGCAATTGGGTATTGTTATTGGAAGTCTCCTGCAGAAAAGCCGAGTTTTACTATCGAAAAATATTTATTTCAAGAATTCTATCCCATTTCTACGAAAAATTGTTTTTTTTTATCTCAAAATAAAAAACACGGGGCTGTAAATTTTTTCAGTATAGAAAAGTCCTAGAGGGTGAGACATTACAATTCTCACTTTACTCTTTCACATGCATTTTTGGACCACCTTAGTGTAGATACATACATGTACATATAAGTGCATATATTAAAATTACATACAAACACAACATCTTCAACATCATTTCCAGTGTATTGGAAATGCATATTTTTCATGTATGGTTTACCAAGTGCGATAACTTTCAACGTTTGCCCATTTTTATCCAACAGATGAGTTAAACGTTTGCGAAATGTTTCCACACAGCTGCGCATTTTTGTAGCGATTTCTTTAAATTCGGGCCAGTATGCTTCTATAGTTTTAATGGCAGCATTCATGCGGGTTTCCACCTCATCATTAGCCAATAGGGGCGAAGTCTCATATATAACATCATCTACGGGAAGCTTTAACAGAAAGAGTGATTGAACGTACATATGTATATACATAAATACAAAATATAGTATGTCTCACTGTCTAACCTTTTTTAAATACACCAATGAAGTAGCATGAAATTGGGCTAATTTTCGCAAAACTATTTTTGCATTATTAAATGCCAGACTGCCATTGTTAATGCGTCCAGTACTTGATATGCATTCCAAAAAGATGAAATTCTCTTCCAAGTATAAGGTTCTGAAAGAACACATGATTTGGTAACATATTATATAATTGGGTTAAGATTTTTTTCTAAGTGTATACACCGAGAAAATAGTTTGGTTTCGAAAACTGACAGTTAGTTGCCAAATATTGGTTATTATATATGTATATTAAAGTTTGTGATATTCATTTAAGTTGCAGCAAATCGTTAATTTAGATCGGTGATTCCCAAAGTGGGCTCGACGGGGATCTACGTCAGCGTGAAAAATATGGACGTTCAAGAGTTGTAAGTGGGGGTCCACGAAAATTTGCCTGGCTTTGATAGTACAGAATAAAAATGTTGGCTTGGCCTTTCCTACCAATGTAGGCAGATAATACACTACTTAAAAAAATTAACGGAGAAAATAAAATCCAAAATTTTCGGTGATTTTTAACAGGCTGTAGCATTTTGAAGCTTTAACGTTCTAATTTTCACATTTCTTGTCTAAATTTATGTTTAGTTTCATTTTTTTAAACCCCCATTAATTTTTTTGAGTAGTGTGAGAAATGAGAAATTGCGGGAAGCGGGGAATCCAGCCTTTTGAGAAATTTTTTGTCGGATTTCGGCACCTGAAATGCAAAAAGACGTAACAAACATCGTCGCTGAAATACAAAAATTCGCAACTAATAAAAAATTCAAATTAAGTATTTGATTGATAGATGGATTTCATCGAATTACAACTCCCCAATCAATTTTTGAAAAAAATATATATATATTAGTTACGACTTTTTCCATTTCAGTTACGATGTTGTTACGTCTTTTTAACCGACTTCAAAAAAGGAGAAGGTTATCAATTCGTCAGAATATATACATTTTTTTATGTATCTTACCGCATAACTTTGGACCACCGATTTCGATAATTCTTTTTCCATCGGAAAGGTAGCGTCTCACAGGTGGTCCCGTACTAATTTGGTTTAGATCCGATCATTGGAACGGTATTCCTAAATTTTTATATGAGAATTGAAGTCGGTTGTGTTTTTTGCTTAAAAATTACTTGTTTAAGCAATTTTCTACAGTGGAAAATTTCTCACTGTTCAGATTTATAATTTACGAAAATGTTCTAAGTATGTAATTCCATTTTTAATAAAAATAAATATTAATGGCCGTATTCATAATAGCTAAAATAGATGTAAAGAGCTTTATAAAGTGATATTTTGATAAAGATTTTCGATTTATAAAGCTTTAAAAGTCTCCTCTATTTTTGATGAATTTGAGTTTAAGAATTTTTAGATTCTGGCATGGAAATAAACTAAATACATATATAGGTGACAACCCGGTCTATCCGATTATAAATATCCGGTTTAAGAAAAATCAAGATTTCAAAAAACCGCTCAAAAATATTCAAACAAATACTGGTTGAAACCGGTCCGAAAAACAACCGAGTCAATCACCCTAATATGTCGACGGCTGAGTGGAAGATCGACTTATCAAAGCAGACGGTTCGAAAACGCCCTATCGCAGAAAACTTTCCAAGAACGCTCTATTTTAAAATTTGGTTGAAGAACGGCCTTTCTCAGATTTTGGTTCAAAAATGCCCTATCACAACTGAAATATGTTGAAAAATGTGTAGATAAGGCGTTTTTGAACCGAATTGTGAAATAGGGCGTTCTTCAACCAAATTCTGAAATAAAGCGTTATTGGAAAGTTTTCTGAGATACGATGTTTTCGAACTGGCTGCCGAGATAAGTCGATCTTCCACTCAGCCGCCGATATATAAATACGCGCATAAATATGTACTCACTTTGTGTTAAATTTCGTCACATGGTCTTTCCAAATAATGTTGTGCGCCTTCAATATTCGATTCATTTCTGGCAACACCACAAAATACATCGAAGTCTCATTGGAATTACTCGCGTGGAAAGTTTTATCTTTTACAACTGCCGCGAAGCCACTTTCTTCCTTTGAAGGAAGTTGACTTACTTGTCCGAGCTTGTATCTCACATCAATTTTTATGATATCGTCCTCTAAAGAATGCAAGATAGTATATCTAAATTTAACACAATTGGTACCGTCCTTTCCTAGTTTGGATATCAAGCATCGTCCACTAGCATCACTAAGCTGATTTGACATTTTCAATATTCTAATAAGTAACTACTAAAATTGTACGAAAGTTTAAATAGCACAGAATAGTCTTTTAGAACGAATTGAACTTCGAAAATGTGTATTGAGTACAAAAAATTATTAAGAAAATAATGAGTCGACTTCAAAAAACTACAACCCACAGCATGATAAAAACATAACAAGGTAAAACCATTGAGAGGCAGTCTGACGTTTGCCAACAATATAATTTTAAAATCAAAACTCAAACTCACACACACATTCTCATTTTCAATCTCAAACAACAACAATTGTGAACAATTTAATTTTTTTATTTTAAATTTTATATGATTTTAAAATGTTGGCAAACGTCAGAAAAAAATCATGGCCGACGAAATGAGAGAATGAATTTACCTTGTAATGTTTTTATCATGACCCACAGTATACAGTAAACCAGCCATTGACAATATGCTTATTTGAAAATTAATACATGAAATATTGTGAATGTATAGGATTTTTTTGTCATTAACTCATAGGCAACGACTGATGTAAGAGTACCCACAAATGTTTGTTGATATATTTGAAATGTAAATTTGAACAGCAAAATTCGTAAAAAAATAATAAAACAAAAATATTTTAATTACTACGTGGGAGGTGTTCGCGGTTATTGGCAGATTTCGCCAAAATTTAACACTAACCTAAATTATACCAAAGGCAACTTCGACACCGACTTTCGTTAAAATATCGAAATTTTGTTCAAGTTAGCGTGTTTACAAACAGAGAGGCCTGGACCAATTCATCTCGTCATTCTGAATATTTTGATATATATGTATGTATGCATAAGTGTATATATGTACATACATTTTATACGGTTAACAAACGCGCTTGCTTATCTGCATAAACCGTCTTTACTTGCATTAATTCATGCATTATCCTCTTTCAAATGTGAATAAGCGGCTGAAGAAATACATACAAATTTTGTACATTCCAAAATAAGCTAACCCACTGGGAAAATAGGTAAGCACCTTACGAGTTAAGCCATGTTTTCTTTCAGTTTTTAGTACCAAAATTGTCATCATGGCCAATGTCATCTACTAGTAAAGCACAAAATGAACACCTCCGACGACGCATTACGTTGTCAGTTGCAAAGTAACGTGCAGCCGAAGTTATCTCCAATTGCCGAACTACTCCGAGCGACTTCTCTGCATTACACGTAACTTACTTTGTAAAGCGGCTCAGAAGTATGTCTGATACCAAGTGTACATTCTAAACTCCTACTTACATAAGGCGGCCATGCCTTTGTAAAAGTAAGGGACGTTCGGCAGGGAAATGGTAATGACTGCCAGGTGAAGAGTAAGTTGCTAATAAGGTATTATTACGTGCTCCTAATTCCCACTGGGAAGTAATGCTTGTTTTAGCGCCTAATCGATGGGACCATTTTACAAAGTCAGCCCACCATTATTCACTCAAAGTTGTGTTCGGAACATGGTTTGACTTATGTAGGAACTACATCCGGTCATAATCGCTTACGCTTGATTTGCTTGGAATTTGGTTTTTCTCGTTATTTTATTTTATGTGATTTGAAAATATTTTTCACTATAAGAAAATATTAAATTTGGATTTCATTTGGGTTAACGAAAACGACAACTGTGAAAAAATATCAACCAATACATTCAAACAAAATGTCAAATAAGCATATTTACATTTTTTGTTTTGGCTATCTGGATTACTGTATACTGTGCTACAACCCAAGTGAACCATGATAAAAATATTTATAAGGCATGGTGAAATAATAACAAGGTGTTGTCAGTAGCGACGTGTTTGTTGTAATTTTGACAAGATCGGCATGCTTATTTTCAGTGCTGCCGATCTTAATTTTTATAATGCTATTAGTTGGGAAATTGTATTTAAAATACTCCATTTTAGTATTTCATTTATCGTGATTTTTAAAGAACTTGGTGTTTTCAGAACGATATTAATAATTAAAATTGCTGGATTTGTATAATTTTTGTCCTCAAAATATAAAATATAAAAGATATCGTAGTTATCAATGGAAAAAGACGTACACAAAAATCGTATGGAAAGTCGATTTTTTTATATTAAATATCTTTTGCTGCATTGTCATAATCTCGAGCCAAATGGACTACTGATACACTAGAATAGAGTGGCAGCATGGTTAAATTACGACTTCGCTTATATTATCGATATTTATGTGTTTTAATCTATATGTCAGCCGCTGTGGCGTAGTGGCAAGCAGTGCGCGCTCCACTCCGCAGCACCTGGGTTCAAACCCTGGTCAAAGCAACATCGCAAAAAATATAGAAAAAAGGTTTTTTCTTAACAGCGGTCGTCCCTCGGCAGGAATGGCAAACCTCCGAGTGTATTCTGCCATGAAAAACAGCTTCTCATAAAAATGCAATCGCCGTTCGGAGTCGGCGTAAAACTGTAGGTCCCTCCGCTTTGTGTGACAACATCAAGGCGCACGCCACAAGTCGGAGGAGAAGCTCGGCCAAACGCTAACATATATGTAAGCGCCAATCTATTATTATTATTACTAATCTATTTAAAAAATCATTTACAGTTTTATAGGAAATTGCCTTATTTTACGGCCTGTACTTTTTTATAAGTTACAATATATGTGCAACCTGTGTGGAGCATACGATACAAACATATATTCAGGCTTATAGGCCTGTAATTAAACATTTTTCTACATTTAATTTGAAATAGTACGCATGAACGGATTAAAAGTAGTAAATAATTAGTACTTTTTCTACTACTTTAAAATGCGTGACCGGAATAGACCTGCCGAAAAAGTGAGATTAAGTTACTGACAACACCTTGTTATTATTACACCATGTTTATAAGGTACAATCCATGATAAAAACATAGCAAGGTAGAACCGTTCTCTCAATTTGTCGGCCATGATTTTTTTTTTGAAGTTTGCCAACATTTTAAAATCATATAAAAGTGAAAATAAAAAATTGAAATTGTTCGAAATTGTTGTTGCTTGAGATTGAAAATGAAATTGTGTGGGTGAGTTTGTGAGTAAATTTAAAAATTAAATTGTTTGGAAACGTCAAGAATTTTAAAAGTGACTGTCAGCGGTTCTACCTTACTATATTTTTATCATGGTACAATCCAAGGCGAATTAATATAAGGTGATAGCAGGAGCACAAAAACAAAAATTTACATGTATTTTGTTTTTGCTTTGACGGCATAAACTGTCAAAATCTGTAAGAGTGTGTGTAGAAATTCAAACAAAATTTTTCAATTTGATATCAGAAGCCGTGCGGCGAAACACATACACAAAATCAGCTGAGCTAGTAACACCACCTTATATAAATTCGCCTTGGTACAATCGCTCAGAGCCAGCTTTGGGAATTTTGACGTTTGCTAGCATTTTTGAAAATTTCTCTCGACGTCATTTCATTAGTTTGTTTTTATTTTCTTTCAAACCAAAGAAATATATTGCTGTCGAAACATTGAAATTTGAATGTACATAATTACAGGGTGTCCGGTGGCAGAATTAGGAATTAAAAGCTAAATTAAAAAAGAATTACTAATGATAAAAGTTTATTTCAATAACTATTACATAGAAAACAAGTGCGGATTTTGTTTTTTAAAAATTATTCCTCTAAAAACGTTGACCGTTACGTCGGATACACTCTTCAAATCTGGCCTCCGTACTCCGAGCCACTCGCTGGAGAAGTGATGTTGGGATACCATTAACCTCACGAACCATATTTTTTAGTGCTGAGATGGTCGCCGGGTTTTTTCGTAGACTTTACTTTTGAGGTATACCCACCGAAAAAATCCATAGGGGTAAGATCGTCGAAGGGGTCGTCGTAGGGGAAAACGTAGCAGTCACTAATCATTGACCTTGAAATACGCTTCGATTGCGAACGCATGTTGTTTACCCGTCCACTGAGACATCGTTATTAAATAACCCGCACGAATGACGAAGCTGACGCTGTCCCCACCCCGCCGATACGCTCATCGGTTAGGGAGAAACTGTACATCTAAAACCCAATTCTGCAACCGGACACCCTTTACATATGTATGTACATATGTATTTATGTATGTACATATGTAAATAAATAAATGTTAGCAATAGTGCAATGAATTTCTGCCCACATGCTGAGGCGCAGATTTTGGCATACATTTAAACAAATTTAACCTTGAAGTCACTGCACTTTTGCTAAGAACTATCTTGGGTCAAGTGGTGTTCCAAAAATTAGCCTAGTGCACATAGGCACTTGGGAAAACCCGCTGCCGTAACACCACCAACCTCGATCAAGTTTTGCGTACACACGGTAATTGCGGGAACTTGAAAGAACTTTATACTGCTTTGCTTGCAGGTAAAAACGGTATTAGCGCAGCCGCTAAAGCATCATCTCATTTTCCTTCTATAAAACTTTAAGTTCTTCTCACATTTAAATAAATAAATTTTCAAATTATAAATTTTCATTTGTTTATTTTGAATTTATTAGACATTTGAATTATTTCGAGAGAGTAAACTCAAAATGCTAGCAAACGTCAAAAAAACCCAATGGCGGACGAATTGAGCGAGCGGTTTTACCTTTAAATATTTGTATCATGAAGTGAACTAAAAATAAAATTAAATAAATAAAAAAATAAAATGTAACTCAAGTGGTTGCGGTCTACTACCGATTTTTACTGTGCCTAAATTTCGATAACGACTTGAAGTTTCTACGGGTTTCTCCATGATACAAATATTTAAAGGTAACAGGCTAACCTAATATTCACGCACGCCGCCAATTTATTGTCAAAAATTTCTCATGCACACGCAACTTGTATGAGATCAACCGAAATTGAACGGCGTGCGTATGAAGCTAACTCAATTTCCAATTTTTGTTCTGCGTGACATTTTGATTTGACGTTTCGCTCAATGAAATCAAATGCAAACGCATGCAAGTCAATTTCGGGTGAAGCAAAAAAACAAATTCGACGGCATGCGAACCAAAACGCAAGCCGCGAATATTAGGTTAGCCTGTAAAACCATGATACAAAAAAGAAGGTAGTTTCAATAA